TAATCTTTGCCACAGACTTTAAATGAGAGTAAGTGATCAGGTTTCTTTTTATTTTTTAATGATATTTATATTACACTATTAAATGAACAAAATAGTGTATGATGATCCCAATTTTAAACACTCTCCTTTCATCCACACATAGTTATGTGTGGATGCACAAAGTAATCTTTTTCCTACCATATTTAATCATACATATGTACACACATATATAAATATAATATACATATACATACATACACACACCCCACAAAATGTTTAAGGTGATTATGTCTAAACGACACGTTCTTTTCCTAATTTTTTAATTTCTTTTAAAATTTTCTACAAAGTACATGTATTATTTCTAGAAAAATGCCCTACAAATGTTATTTTTTTAAATGCATAGAAGAGAAACTGTCTAAAAAAGACTGGCCTGAGACCAATGGAAAACTGATGGTCCCCAGGAGATGAATCAGTGGAACCATAAGTGTTTCCTTGGGTCATTACAAAAGGGGGCTGTATGGGACTTATAAAAGTGTAATTGTTACTTTCAAACTCACTAAGTTTGTTAAGGTTACTAAGCTTAAGTAATTCCAAAGTAAACACATTATCCTTGGGTTTCCAATACTGTCTTCAGTTAAAGTCTGTTACAGTGAGGTTCAGAAACATTAAGAGCATCCCTCACTGAAACTCTTGCTTGGGGGCCCAGAATATAATCTTATACCACTGGAAAAACAGGTTTAAGGATACCCAAAATAAATATAGAGTTAATGGCAGCTCCACTTCCCAGCCCATCATTCAGCAATATGATCCTGCAGTAGTAAAGATGTGGTTCAACCATCGAAATGTTTGCAAGCAACAAGAGTCCATGACTGACTCTTCTTTAAACTCTATACTGCTCACTAGCATTAATTTTTATCAGTGAAATTCTCTATATTGACGAGATACAAGTCCGACTAAGTGATTATTGCAAGCATCTAACAGAGTTAACAATTGTCAGAATGCATTCCCTGTAAAGCAAGCTAAGCACTATAAAACTTTAATAAAAACCTTTCCAAGAACAGTTAAATACCAACAAAATAATACCGAAAGCACTTTACATCTGCCTAAGTTAGGAAATAAAATCGAACTGCAGGAAAGAAATTCAACTCAATGGTGAAGGCATGAGAGAAGCAATATGCTTGTACCAAGGAGACCTCTGGTCCAACTCTGGAGTTCTTGCTAGAAACATCCAAGAAATCTGCCAATGGTTTTAAGGGTCAGGGCAGAGCAGAACTTGAGAAAGAGAGCATTCCAAAGTACTGGAACTTCTCTCCTGCACTCCACGTCATCCCCCACACGTACACACACACAGAAATATAAGCATAAACCTGCTGAGATACAACATATAGTCCTCCAACTAGAAGTGCCTACCAACTTAATCCCTACCCTAATTTTTTACTTTTTAAAGTATTAAGCGAATATTTTTCCTGTGTAAAAACATCTGACTTTATAATAAAAATCACTGAGAAAATGAGATCCATTGTGCAGCCAAATTTGCTAAAATATAACCATTTCAGTAAAGGCAGGGGTTCTCAGAGTTCTACAGATACACTGAGAAGGATTTTAAATGTGTTATCTGTGTTCTTTAAGTTACTTTATTTCCAAGAAGTCAATGTTACATAATATTTCTTGACTAAGTTGACTGTGCCAGTAAAATACAGGGAGAAGTATTACTTCTGGACCTAGTTTCCACCTCTAAGGAAAGCCTTCCCATTTTTATAGCTAACATGACAAAATCTACTTTTCAGCCAAACTTCCTCAACACAGCAGTTTAGATACTATTTCAAATACTATTAAATTTAATAGCAGGCCTAAATTCAGACTTCTCATTTCACTTTTGCACCTACTGGAAATTATTTCACTCAAAATAATTATGTCTTCAGACGATTTCCTATTTCCACTTAAAGTGGAAACAAATTAGAACACTTCAAATTCTATTTGCACTTCTCAAATACAGTAATGACTCATTTATCTGGCATCATCAGAAAATGAGGTTCTCCACATTAAGCATTCTCCAGATAACTGCAGTCCACAGGAGCAGGGAGCTCATCTGCCTGTTTCCTTTTGTATCCCTAGGGCCTGGACCAGGGGCTGGCACATAGTAGATGCCCAGTAATATTCACCGGACATGGGACTAAATAAAGTACTAACGTACTTTTATTTTTAACCATGTGGTAAAAACTTCTCTATAATTATAGCCATCCCTCTCTTAAAAAAAAAAAAAAAAAAAGACACTGAACAGAAAGAGGCTACTCTCATTTATTTAGGCTATCACTATAATCGCCAATCACTCTACCCTCCAACCATACATCCATAATGCCTTCACAGAAGCTATTAACATACACACAGCTTTTTGCCACCATATTTAAGTGATCTCAACAGGCTATGCTTTCTAACTTTTCCTTTTCTAATATTACCTGTCATTTGTTCGTTGCTGCTGTCTTATTTTACATAAAAATGTTTGGCAAGTTTCTAAAATTAATTCTGCCTCCAAAGCAGAATAAAATACATGGACTTGGTTATAATTCAGAAGTCTTTCCACTTACTTCTGACCTGTGACTACATTCTGATTCTATTTATTTAACAGACTCCTTGCACCACCTACCACATTCTACATAAAATCTGAGATGGTTCTATTAGTTTTAAATGACTATCTTAAGGATTTTCATTTAAGTTCTAAGTTTCAAATATTAATCATGAGTAATGGCTCAAAGACTAGCTCTAATATAAACCTCAGGGCATATTTTTTTAATCCATTTAGGAGACACCAACTACGACAAAGCTGGATTTCATCTTGCTTGATATGCTGTGATAGGGCCATAATTTAAATTCACTGTTTCAAAGTTCATGGCAGCAAAAATCAAACACACTAGCAGCCATAGTGTACTGTGCTTGCACAGAAAGGCATATCTCCCTGAACCTAAGAGTAGAAAGGATAATTTAAGTATAGTATTTAGTTTATACAATACAACTAGAGTTCCTTCCCCACAACAAACTTTGAATAATGTTTATAATTTAGCAATCAACTGAAATGATGAATTACCACAATTGAAATAAAATATTTATGTAGCTTAAACCAGTAGAATTATATCTTCAAAAACTAAAATAAGCTCAGGCAAACCTAGTTGTGAATTAGGGATGGATACAAATAAAATGGGGGATTTGTTTATTTGGGTTTTTGAGTCTCTTTTCTTCTTTTTAAAGATTTAATGAACTTTCATTTGAAATAAGCATAGTTTACTAAATTAAAAGATTTGATTACATATTCTTTAAAAGTATCTAGTTAGGTAAACAATAAAGTAAGTTATCCAGGAGTCAAGAAAAATTACTTCAGATTGTTTTATGAATATTCTTCCAAAATCACCAGTCCTTCCACAAAAATAGTTCAACGGAAGATTTCAGTTCCTGGTACTGAACTGAACAAAGAGAACCACATGTTTTTAATGGTTGCTCATAAACGACCCAAATAAATCTTCTAAAGAACAGCAGTGGTTCTTTCTGTACTTTTCCCTTCAAAACTCACAAGACCAATTCAACATAGAAATAAAAATTACTGTACTTTATAGCACTACTCAATTCATGACACATTTATTTGCTGTCATGAAAGTTAGTGCCTCAACAAAGTAAATGAGATTTAGGGAAAAACTTTTTTTTTATTTTTTATTTTAAGAGCACAAAATGTCCTTCCATTTGATACAGAATTTTCCCACCTCAAATGAGAAGATTTTCAAACTAAGTGAGAGACCTAAGTATTTATATATAAATGTTACAAGAAAGATTTCCAAATAGCTTTCCAATCAACTATGATGCTGACCTTAGATCATAATTACACTGCTAACTACCATTTATAAGAAATGAAGCCTACACAACAGAAAATCTTAACTTAAGATTTAACTGCTGATGTTCTACTTTCCCTCCACCGAGAATTAAAACAGAGCAACAGCACACCCTACTGGAAGTTAGTAGTATAACTAAGTAACACTGGATTGCTAAGGTTTCCTCCAAGATGAGAATTACTTCAGGAAGAAAACTAATTTTTCACTAAATGATAAAATATGTTCATGAGCATTAACCATTATGTGCCTACACATGTGCTCTGAAAGGTAAAATTAATCTAGAATAATTTCAATTTAAAAGATACTGCTTTTTCCAGCTCATTTCCCTAGCCCCACACAGTTCCAACCACCCCGATGATTTTATTTATTTACTATTTTTTATTTTAAACCTTAAAAATATTTTCAAATCTGCTTTCTGTAAAGGAAAACTTGTAATCACATAAGAGGCCATTTTCTGCATGAGACTGCCTGAAGCAACCCTTTCTTTTTCCCATTCCATTTTGGCCTCAGAAACATCCCTGAAGACCACCATTAAGAATCCACAAGGCAGTCTAGTGGTCCATGAACCACAATTTGCATGCCAATGGTAAAATACCTACACAGATTCTGGAATTCAAAAAATTCAGATTCTATTAAGAAACCACATGCCATCAAACTCCCACCTAGTACATTTCAACATTTTCACAGACATGAAAAAATCATGGAAGCCATTCTAGATAATCTAACTCTCTCTGCAACAAACTCAGGAAATCAGAGGATGAACTAAAAGGTATGTTTTGTAAATGCGCTCTTTTGGCTATAGAAAAAAGTCTTGGTACCACTGAGATCCCTTCTTTGAGAAAACAAGCTACTCTAGCACTGATCTACATTGTTTTGAGTGACTAGTGTTAACTTCTTGGCTCCTGCTCCCACATCTAAAAGGTTCTGACTGACTGACCTACGGCCAACTTGAAGGGCACTCTATCATGAAGGCCAGCAACCCTGAAAAATCCAGAGGCCAAAAATCAAAACTTCGGAATAGTTTTCCCTCAAAAACTGCAAAGACGAATCCCCCTCAGGCCTAATTTTCTGAAGTTGTTTCCAGTGGTATTATTTGGTTCATTATTTCAAAGAACATTTAAATTAGAACATTAAAAGGATACCAACCTCAAGCCTCTTTTCAAGTGACTCAATTCTGTCCTTTTTGCTTGCTAGGTTGGCCCGTGTGTAGCGGCTCTGCCCAGGGAGATATAAAACTTGACTGTAGCATTCTTCCCACACCTGGTTATAAGCTTCACTTGAGAGTTCTCCATGGCTCATACCTTGTTTTACCACTTCCATCTCCTGTACCAGAACGTCCTGGGCCTGTTTATAAATAACAATTTCAGTAAGTTTGAATACTAGAAATATTTGCCATCAACAGAAAGCTTTAAAAGACTAGTCTTTCCTCCTTCTGGGGGCAAAGGCAAGGAGTTCTGGTTGATTGGCTATTCTTTGGAGGGGGGAAATATCTAAGCAAAATGAATTAAGAAGCCTCTAAGTCAATGACAACTGGTCTGAAAAGTCAAGCACCCATGTACTCCAATAACAAATGTCCTCTGCCTTCATTCATTATAATAGTAACTACTATTTTTCAGGTATCTACTATGTGCCAGGAACTGGATTTAATAGTTTTATCTATATTATCTCCAAACACCACAATCACCTTACAAAGTAGCCAATATTAACTTCATTTTGAAGTTGATAAAACTGAGGCTCAGAGAGATTAAACACCTTGTTCAAAAGCACATCACTAATAAGCAGACAAAGCAGGATTCATGCCCAAACCAAATACCACCAATGCTTGGGTGAGCTCCTTTTAACTCTACCACCCCTCCCTACACTTAGGACTTCACATGATCATGAAAGGGAACTAGGCATTTGTTTCACACATGCCTTTTTTTTCCTCATCTGAAGGAACGCCCCTGATATTGCCAGAGAATGAGACTGGGGGCACAAATCGAATAATGATGCATCACAGACAAACTTCTGTTCACTACTGAAGAAACAGTTATGATGACAGAATGAGAGGAGAGTTGGACAAGCCTGGGTTTAAATCACAGCTTTACCACTTAAGTAGCTGTCTGAACTTGTTTAACTTCTCTGAGCCCATTTCTCAACTGTAAAATGGGGATAATACACATAAAAAGCCCAACATCAGACACAAAGACTCCATGAGCATACCGAATCTTTTTCCAGTTCTTTGCTTCATGGCTCATGAAAAACTGACAATGATTTTTTGTGCTTTATAGAAAGCTTCCAATTATTCCAATAATATTAGAAAATAAACAGAACAAAATATATAAAATCAATGACCAGCATACAAAAAATTTAAACAAAAATATGGAAAATCACATCTATAGAAGATAAAGAATGGATACTTTTAAACAATACCTCTTAAGGGAAATAATGGAAACAAACCAATTTTAACATAGTTAATAAAATTTGACACTTTATTATAAGAGAAATAGTATTTCATTCCAAAACTGTACATAGTAAAAAAAATTACAATTTCATCTTTTATAATTCTGAGGGAGTATGGCTAAGTTATCTTTAAACTGTCCATATAGAATCTGCTAAGTAAATAGCTGCTTCAAATTCTTTTGGACCAAACAGTACTATAAATAGATAAATAAAATATTGGAGAATATTTAAACTACTTTGTAATGGTTTCAAATAATTCCTAAGCACTACTTACAATTATTATTTTCAAAAATTTCCTTAGAATCTATCCCCTACAGGACCTCTACTAGCAATGATGTGATCCTAATTTCAGGTTTCCATACATACAATAAATTTAAGAAAACTTATTTCCTAAATCTCATCTTCCCCTCCTATTTTCACTCTAACAAGAGGAAACTGTTCAAGTATCAAGTTCATAGTCTAATTGTCAACCCCAGTTCAATCATTAAATAAATGTGCTTGACACAGCATAGGCACTCAACAGATGTCTGTTTCCCAACACACTTACTTAAAAAGTAACTAACTCAGTTACTCAGAAACTAGGGGTGAATTGCTGAAATATAAATCTAAACCCTCCTCCCTTTCTCTATTTTCTAAAAATCTTATAATAAACAAGTATTATTTATGCAATAAGAAAAATACAAAGAAAGAGAAAAAGGGAAAAGTGCAGGAGGAAAGACAAAAAAGAATTTTGTTTTCTCCAAAATATGCATTAGCCCATTCCAATCAATGGGCTTATCACTGCCCCTCAGGGATAATGAAAAAAGGACTAAAGAAAACGACTTTTAAGCTAATAAGCACTCTGCTTCCAACCACAAAACCAACTGTATTTTCTAAAACTGTTGTACAGATATCTATTCACAATCACAGCTGTTTGCTCTGTGAGAGCAGAAGTAAAATGCTTCTGAAGGAAAAGGCAGGACCAACTCTATACAAGGACATATTTACTTCCTTATCCAAAAGGATAAGGGGAAATCGTGTGAGGGGGAAAAAGTTGAGTAAAAAATATTTCCTTTCTCTGGATAGGTGAAATGTTTAACCTATAAACGTTTTTAACACATGCACATTCTTGCTTTTTCATATTAGTCTAAATAAGTGACGTTTAAGTATTAATGGCATTCAATTCTATTCAAACAAAGCAGGGTCAAAGAAAACAGTAATTGTAGTATCACTGTCAATCAGGCAACACCTATGAAACAAAAACATCTTGCCACCGAAGCCAGTGTTTACCTGATAAAGGTCTGTTATTAAACATGGGATGCGGGGGAGTGTCCTTTTCACAACATTTAATATGAACACTTATCTCCTAACCATCTACTTCAGTTGTTTATGAATACCAATATGGGAAAAGAAGTTAATATTTGTCCATGACACACAGTGTCAAATACTTAAATCTCAAGACAGAAATATTCCTGCTCAATCATACCTTTTTCAGCTCTTCTTTGGAGAACTTTTCATAAGGGTTATGTTCCAGATAGGAAATGTGCTCCGTATTATTGGTAGCAAATGCTACAGTTTTTCCTTTTTTATTTCCCAATGGTTCATAAGGGTGATGTAGAAGGTCATAATGAAGCATTGTGATCATTTCTTTTTTGATTAGCTCTTCACTTTTCTGTAAATCTGTTAAAGGTGGTTCTACATTTAAGGGTCTTAAAATAGTTTCATTTACCTAAAATTTTAAAACAAGTATAATTACGAAACATATCACTGCAACATACTAATGTTATTACTTGTTCTAGCATGAAAATAAATAGCAGTTATACATTTTCAAAAGAAATTCATTTTTTCCTTCCAAATTCTTATTTGTACCAGTGAGTGGATCTGGAAACTGCTTTACTATATATTCCAGAGAGTAAATAAAATTTTGTTTTATAGATTTTATGAATGATATATAAAAAAAAATTCACATAAAAAGAAACTTAAAACTTTCTTAGCCAAAAATTCCAACACTTACTTCTGATGGTCTTGGAAGATCTTTCTGGACAGCTTTGTGCATTCGTTTCATTTCTTTTACACGCTCTGCATCTCGTATAGCCTAAAAAATTACATATCCATTACTGCAGTTATAGAGTATTTGACACATTTCAATAAAGTTGAAAACACTTTAGTCTATAAGAACATGAATGTCCAAGAACTAAAGCTATAGACATCTTTAAGTTTGCAGAAAGGCAATATAAGGCAACAGAAAGTAGTCTATTTACTCTCTCAGTAAAATAGAAACTAAGAACTTCCAGTGTCTACTAGATCATTCTCCAAATATACATGGCTATATCATCAGATAATCATCCTTTTCTTGTCTAAATCAAAATCCTAAACTTAGAGGAGTGATTATTCCTCTTGCAACCCAATCCCTCTCTTCCACCCCAAAAGCTACTGATTTTTAGTTCAAAAAGCCAGCCAAGGAATGTATTGTTTCCTGACTCTCAAATTATGAAAGTGAGATAAAACATTAGAATCTCACACCATTTCTGAGAGTGAAAGTAACTAAGAGAACTAAACACAAAAAGTATTATCCTATATTCCCCACCAAAAAGCACATTCATATGATTTCCCTCTAAAATATGATTTCCATGGATGCCATTGTCATTCCAATTCCATGAAACAACTCAGCCTATAAAACCATCCTGAAATGGACTGTAGCAAGAATTCCAGAAAGGGGTCCTATGATCTCGGTTTAAGTTCAAGATTCACCACTTTCCAGCCGTGAGACCTAGGAAAGTTAACTTAATTCACCTGAATCTGTTTCCTAGTTTCTAAAATGAAGATAATACCTACTTACATCACTGGTTTATTATGTGCAAATGAGAAAAAAGTTAACTATAAAATACATTAGTACAAAGCATTACTAATATTATTCTGGCACACTCTAAACTTCCAAACCCACTTTTTTTTTATTTTACACTGACCTAAAACCATTTACTCGACCAATCCAAAATATACTTGTTTTTAAGACTGATCAGTTACTCCTTCTCTTGGCTAGAGTGAAAAGTAGTGTCTAAAAGACTGAGTATTTTGAAAAGAATAATACGATAGAGGGCATTTAAATTGCTATGTACATTTTAAGAATGCCTATTCAAGATAATGAGTATATTGTTAATAATTTGATTACATATCATTAATGATGTAATTTACTTTAGGGTAATATTTTTTTAATATTGAAAGAACTTTTAATTAGAGATCATGAGATATTTAATGGCCATTCTGCATTCTTTCAGCCTTCTGATATATTCAGGAACCTCACACTTCCTTTCCAGAACAATTACCAACCTGTTTTCGTGCATCCACGTCAGCAGCATCTTCAACATATGTATCATCTATTTCACGATCTTCCAGCTCCTTCTCAGCATTTTCTGGTAGAACAATTTCAAAGTCATTCTTAGGAGCTGGAAGGCCCAACAACCCCAAACGGAGGTGTTCACGAGATTCTCTTTCCTGTAGAAAGAATTGATCCTTCTCAATTCATACACATTAAGTATTCAACCAATATTCTATAAGAGTTTTAAAAAAATAATTAGCCTAATTTTAATTCTAGAAAATGTTCCTAACTTCAGAGCTGAGACAAGCTTTTTGTTTAATTTCTATTTCCATTTCTTCCCTACATTAAGATCAATCAAAACTTTAATTTGGAATCAGTGAAGTTACTCTGGGATATTCTAACAGAAGGTGTTGGAATTACCTCTGCAGGGGCAAAAAAAGTCCTTCAGGATTTCCATTTAACCCATTTCCCATTTAGAAAAAGTGTAGCTCACTGCCAGCATTAATTTAATTTTACATAAACACATTCTTTGAGGCTGAAGAAAATCTGACTGGTTTTCAATGTGAAAATAAAATATAAAAACTGTTCTTGGAGTTATTTCTAAACAGAACTTGTCTCTAATCCTAATATAACAGAAATGTACATAATCAGTATTTAATCATTTTTGTATGTGTGGTAAATTTCAAAGTACGAAACAACACAAAGCAGAACATCTAAGATTTCACATTTTCAGCAATTGAGAATTACTATATTTTTGTATATGGAAATACCACAAAAAACAGAATGCTATAAATAGAATGTCGTCATTTGTTTCCAAAGATTGTCGATATACTAGAGCGATGTGAAAATAAAAATAAAAACGAGATATATTGTGGCAAACTTTGGGTGTAAGGTTAGGGCTGTAATCTGCAAGTTATCTTGGGGTAAACGCTAAAGCTGCAAGCACCACCAGTGAGTATGCTCACAACAAACAGAAAATAGATAAAGAAAAACATTTCTGACACTGAAATTTAATAGTAAATGAAAAGAACAAGTTCAAAAATTAGTTTATCCTTGGACTAATAAAACCTAATCTGAAAAGATGCCTAAGAGTGACTGAGAATATGTGTGTCGGGGTGGGGGGGGAATGGATGTGGGTGTATGTGTGTGGGGGGGGTGTGTTTAATAGAAATACTAGATCATATGCAGGCAAAAAGAAAAAAAAAGGCCCATTGTTCCAGAGGAAATTGTCTGGTGCCCAAAGTTTTCTCCAGTACAGTCTCAGCTCACTTTTCCTTTCTCACTCCCCACTGGCTCCATTACACATATGCTAGATGCGAGAAACAGATGAGTTGCTAAAGTTGCTTAAAACATGCTCCATGCTTATTCACATTGTGGTCTCCATCTGGAAGAGCTGCCACCCACCTACTGAGCATACTTCTTCAGTGAAGGCTTTCTTCATACCCACACAACAAATGTTAATATTTCTTTAGCCACCCTAAGCATGTTAAGTTTTAGTCAGAGGGCTTACTTTGTTCTTACGTGACAATTATTTTTTAACTAGTTTTAGTACTGCCAACCTCTCCAGAGTATAAACTTTAAAACAATGGACATCTTTTGTCAACTTTAGATCCCCTAAAGTGTTCATGCCTTGCACACATTAAATTCTTCATTTAATTCTTATGTAGCTAATCAGAGTTGGCTTTAGTCGATATCAATTTGAACATTAAAAGAATTCTAACTAACCAAATCTATACAAGAAGTTAGAATTAAATTATAAACTGAAAACAGGCCAGTATCACTGGAACTCATTAACAAAAAAATCTCACAAATGATTTCCCTGGCATAGATAAGGCCCAGTAATGATGTAATAAAAGCAATAATGTGAGCAAAGCAAAACTGGAACTTTTATAATTTACCTTTCTATATCACCACGCAAAACATACAAAAGAAAACTTCACCAAAATCAGCAATAAACATCAAATTGATTTGGCTTAGAGATCTAGATTGTCTATCTAAAAGTACAGAGCAGATAGAGAAATCAAGGGTCAAAGTTTAATTTGAGGCATTCGAAACTAAAAATTTATTTTACAGAAAAAAGGTTTTAATAAGTGTATGATTCAAGAAAGTATTAGCAAATTATTAAAATTAAAATCATGAAAGAGACACAAGGAGCATCACTATAGGCATAATCAATATTTACAAACATATTAAGATAAAAAAAAGTAGGCATATGAGACCAAAGGTTCCCTTCTCAAGTACTGTAAATCATTCAACTTTTCTGACATCCACAGGTATACCTATTCTTAAGGTATATGTAATATGCACTGACAAGGGGGAAATTTTTAACTTGGCACCCATGAGGTATTTTTTTAAATTTTTTTAAAGAGTATTAAAAGGGAATTGATATGTACCATCTGCTTCACATAAGAGGGATCACTGTAGTCTGCCATTCCATCCTCAGGATTAATGTTTAACTTGTCTCGAAGAGGAGTTCTACCTGGGGTGGAGTTTACAACTGGTTTGGGAGTTGTCCCACTCCGGGGAGTCAGCCCTTCAGATCCATGAGAGGGAGTCCTAGAAAAACAAATTCTAATTAATAAAAGTGCTCTTTTTATTTGTATTGTGCTTTCAAATGTTTTTCACTTAAATTATTTTACAAATAAAACAAATAGAAATTCAAAAATTCTGTCTTCCTACCTGGTTTTAGGTTAGATCTCTAGGTTAAAATAAAGGTTTAGCTCAGCTAACTTAGTATTTACATACAGCATTCTTATTTTAATGACTTCCATTAAACTCACTACATTTGACATGTTCTTGCCTCCCTAAAAAAGGTCCACCAGACATTATTTCAACTTTTTCTTGACACATTAGGGTGGCTAAGAACATACATACAATGGGCATAGAAGTGAGCCACCACACTCACAGGCTCTCTGTTTGAGTTCAGGGTCTTCACCTGATAATCGGCATCGTCCTCTGCATATATAGCTGTTCACTATCACAACATTATCAGTGTGCATATTTTAAGTAGTTCCCCTCTTTACATTTTATTTGGAACCAAACAGCAGGCTTTAAGAATCAAATCTAAATATGAACAGTTCTGAGTGAGAGCTAAGAGAATCTCTTAGGAATAAAATCCATAGATTTTGCAGCTTAAATTTTAATTGTTCGAAGCTTTTTTTTGGGGGGGGGCGGGGGGCAGGGTTCTTACTTCCTGTAGCTTGGCTGTGTTCCAGATAGATGGTACTGCCAGACTGCTGTTCCCCAGGGGTGAGGTGAAGTGTTATCATATAAGACATGGTCCCTGCCCGCAAGGAGCTTACAATCTAGTTGAGAGACAAGACACACACAGGAAAAAAGGGATTAGGCTCTCTTACAAGCCTTGCAAGAAATGTTAACATATATGGATTTGGCTGCCACCGTTTCATGATCTTGCTGTCATATACAGTTTTAACAGTCTGAGATGCTTCTCATTATAAACAGCAGGAGAACATAGCCTAACATTTAAGATTAAAAGGAAATCTTGACTATTTCCAACCTTTAAAAGCTAAAATTCCATTTTAATACGACTTGCTTCTGTTAAGTTTATATCTTTAAAATTATTCTTAAAAACACAACAGCTTAAAACAAAAAGACTGCAAAAAAATACTGAACTCTGAAATCTAGTTAATGATATGCATGAGGAAGTGTTTAGGGGTGAAATGTACTGATACCTGCAAGTTACTCTGAAATGCATTAAAAAAGACAGACTGACGGATGGATATGTGATAAAGCAAATACAGTAAAATGTTAACAACTGTACAATCTAGGTGATGGATATATAGCTCTTTGCTTTACCATTCTTTCACCCTCTCTGAATGTTAGAAATTTTCATAATGAATTGTTGGGGGAAGGCAACATTAACACATACATAAAAAGGATTACAATTTTGTGCTCATTTCAGCAGCACATACACTAAAAAAGGATTACAATTTTTATTAAATTCACCAAATGATCATTAACAATGGACTGATTTGCTCTTTAAAATCAGATAAAAAGTATTTAGAAACGAGGTGAAGGCATCAGAAACTCTGCAAAAAGAAGGAAGCTCCATATAGTATTTAACTATTCCCTGGATACTATTATGTTATTTACTACTGTGAAAAAGGCAAGCTGATCACTTATTTCCATTCTGTTAATGTTACTAAAAGCAAAAATGTCCAAGACCTCAGATTCAAGTTTTTTTAAAACAGAAAACATTTATCTACAATACCTGAATGGGGTAGAAAGAACTGTGTTTGGAGTCTGTACAACCTGCCTCTGTGGAGTCACACCTGAGAAGTCACTCTCGTGCAATGGTGTGTTAAGTCCACCTTTTAACGGGGTATCCACATTGGTGAGAGCCATAAGGTTCTGGGCTTCCTGAGAAACAAGAAAATTAAAAAAGTGTGTTTTAACAGTTCAGACAGAAAAGCAGAATCCTCTCTTCTAGTCTTCTATACATTTTCTCAGTGAAAACCAAGAGAGAAAATGACTACTAGACCATGGCAGAATTCAATACTTCCATTCCTTCTGTCGACCTACACATAGCAACTAAGAAGTTTAAAAACAAAGTTTTATGTGTTAAATGCTCCTGTGGCCTCACATATGAAATTACCATTACCCAAAAACTTCTATTTAATGTGCCAAACCTCTTTATAATTGTAAGTAACTAAGAATTCAAAGTTCCCCATGTCAGTTTAAGCTAACTGTCAGAACACCAAATCTTTAACCTAGCTTTATCACTAATTCTTTATTTAGTCTTCATCAGCCTCTCAGTGTCTTCAGACTCTCCTAATGGGAAGTTAAGACACTACCAATTGGCCTATCCACTAAGAACTCACGTGGGCAGGTTCCTTTCTGATGTCTTCCTTGACCTTTTGTAGGCAGGACTGACTATACTCTCTTTAGTCCCTCCACTATAAACCTGCATTCATTACTATCACTGCATCTATAAGTCTCTTAATCCCCAACTTAGGGTCTGTGAAAGGCTGTTATTTTTAAAGATAGACACTACTCTCTCTCTCATCTCACATGCTCATGTCGTAATTCATCCTTCCATCAAGAAGTGGAGTCTATGTTCCCTCCTCTTGAATCTATGTGCACTTGTGACTTGCCTATAACTAAGAATAAAGCAATAAATGACACTGCTTAATTTCCAAGGCAAGGGTAGGAAAAAAATGCAGCTTCCCACCACACTCACTACAACATTCACGTTGGAGCCCTGAGAGGCCATGAGAGAAGTTCAACTCTCTCATGCCACCATGCTGTGAGAAAGCCCACAAAGAGAGGCCACATGCACATTCAACTCTCTCATGCCACCATGCTGTGAGAAAGCCCACAAAGAGAGGCCACATGCACGTTCCCAGGTAAGAATCCAACCCATAGCCAGCATCACACATAAAACATGGAAAAATGATGATTCCAGGACCTATTCATCAAGTTACCCCCAAATGCTAAGTCTTTCTAGCTGAGGCCCTAGACATCATGGAGCAGATCCAAGCCATTCCTTCTACGCCCTGTCTGAATTCTTGACCCAAAGAAACCATGAGCATAACAAAATGTTTTAAGTCACTAACTTTTGGGGCATAATGAAGATAATTGAAGCAAGGCTTATTTCATTATTCAGTATGTCTTTATTCATGGAAAGAACCTTGAATTTCATATTATCAAAGTACTTTGTGTGTTCTTTTTACTATTCTAAATACAAAGCATTTTTCTCCATCTAAGCTCCCCTAAGGCTGTCCAGTTTTACACCCTCCAGGCAGGAAACTGGAAGCTACTTACTTCTCTGGGGAATCTGACTAATACAAGAGAAAAGATCAAGAAATACTGACATCAAGAATTCCCCAATGAAATACCCCAGCCAGCTGAGCCTTCAAACCCAGAGTCAAGAAGCCCACTCCCACCAAGGAGCTTCTACCTTAACTGCCCCACCTTCACCCACTAGATATAGGCAGAGAGCTAAAGCTCAAAAGATACTTAAGGAAACATCTCATATGAAAGACAGAATAAAACTAACAATAATTATGCAGAAAAAATAAAACATAAAAAGTACATATATAACCTCAGAGAAATAAGAAGATATTCATAAATAGAATAGATCTTTAAAAAATTAAACACATCTAAGAAAGAACACTTAGAAATTAAAAATACGACAGTAGAAATTTGAAAACCAAATAAAGGTAAAATTCAGAAAATCTGTTCACACTAAGTCAATTAAGGCAGACAACCTGAGAAAAACAAACAAGAAAATTTGAGGTTTATAAAGAGAACACATTAGTGAAAGGGAAGAAATTTTTTTTTATTTCAAAATAATTTCCCAGAATTGAAGGCCCTGAGTCTCCAGAATGAAAAGATCCACCAAGTACCTAGCATAGTGATTGAAACAGAACCATACCAACAAGAAACATGCTTGTGAAAAAGAGAAGATCATATAAACTTCCAAAGAAAGAAAAAAAACAGGTTTTCTATTAACAACCTAAAGGGCACCAGAGAGCTCAAGAGCAACAATGGAAGTCAGAAGACATTGGAGCACTGCCTTCAAAACTGAACAAGAACCATTCCAATTCGGAATTCTACACCCAGTTATACTCCCAACCAAATAAGAAGATAAAACAGTAATTTACAGATATGCAAGGTCTTAAAAATTCCATCTCCCATGAACACTTCCTCAGAAAGCTATGGAAGGATTTACTTCATTAACAAGGGAGTAAACCAAGAAAACGAAAGGCATGGGAGCCAGGAAAGAGGAGATCCAAGGGACTTTCTAGGGTGACAGTGAAGGGTAATCAAGAGAAGGAACGATAAACAAGATCTTAAGAGTAATCAATCCAGACTAGAACACTGAGAAGTTTTGGGAAAGACTTCTTCTTAAAGATAAGAATACCTAAAATTTGCCCATATTACAGGAGATTTACACAGTTAATATAAAGTCTAGAGTAGAATCAGTGCTAAGTAATCAGAAAATTAGCAATAACTGTTAACTCAAAAAAAAAACAAAATACTGCACAGTGAAGTAATTATAAGGCACTCTGTGGCTCAGCACTGAATATGGTTGCAATAGTCATAAGATAAACTATGAATACGGAGCTATCCAAAATTATGACATAACTGTAATGAAAGATGAGAGAATGGAAAGAAAATGTAGGCATGATAGAGACAGAAGTTATAAAAGAGCCAAATGTTCAAATTCTGGATGCAAAAATGTCTAAAACTAGGAAAAAAAAATCAACATGTTACCAAGTGTCTAAGGTAGTAAAAACAAAGTTGTAACTGAAACCTCTAAAGAGCAAGTAATGCGGAACACCACTGTTTTCTTACTAAGCCTTTTAAGACTATTTGGCTCCTGGATCAAGACCTTAAAATTATTTCTGACTATCTGAGAAAAGAAAATTATTTCTGACTATCAGAGAAAAGAAAATAAGATATAAGGATAATAAAAGACTCCACAGTGTTTTGTTACGGTCTCCGGCATACAGACACCGTAAGAACGCACAGAGCTGTATACCTCGTGTGTTAAGGAGAGAGAAGGATGGCAATACTGATGGCAGCCTATGCTGAGCTAAGTACAGAAATACAAGGAAGTTTTAAAAATTACTGACTACACACACCTGCTTTCTTTCTAGGATTGCTAGGTAACATGAAATTTTAAAATGCTGTGCTTTACTGATAGATTAATGAAGGCCGAAGAGCTGGCTTCAAAAAAAAACTATGACTTAATGTAGAAAGGAAACCACCTAATTACTGAATCTGCTGATTTAGCTTCCGTACTATAGAAATCTCTAGGATCTATGTATTCAGGCCCCTAGGATCTATGTATTCAGGAACCACTCAAGTGTTCATCTTCATAATACTTTCAAGAACAATAAACAAGTGAAAGGCTCACTCTGCTATATGACAGCTTACCTGCAGAATTCTGTCCTGGGAAGCTGGCGTCCGTGGTGTTCGAAGAGCAATGCTGTTGTTGGTGACATTGTACTCAGACAAAAGAGTGCTGGAAGCAGAGTTTGTTATGCCAGATTCCTCAGCAGTCTGACGTGCAATTTCACTTGCTTGGCCTACTTTCACAACTTCCTGGAGTTCTGCATCTGAAATCTAAAAAGACAGTTATCACAGTAAGCAATATTTTAACCAGAGAACAACACAGCTTAAAGCTTCCATATTTCAGAAAGAAATATCGCTGAAACTGTGTGATGAGTACCCAGGGTTCACGGTACTACTCTCTTTACATTTTGTGGATTTGAAAATTTCCATAATAAAGTTTTTAAAAGTCTTTCCAATATAAGGGGTGGGGGAACTTCATGGTATCAAGCTGCAAAGTCTTGCATGTATTTCCATACTGAAATTCTTTTAAACCAAGCAATATATTAATATAACAAAAACATAAAACAGTGTTTGTACAAAACTCTCATATGGGGTATGACTGAAAACCAATTAAAATATCAAACACAGAGAATCCACTCAGCCACAAGATCCCTAAGAAAATAAATCAAAATGTGTTATCTTAGTAATTTTACCAAAATAAATATCCTAAGGATTACCAAGAAAAAAAAAGTAACAGGCAAAATCTCAATTTAAGAAATATCACAGGAATGGCAGCATATGACAAAATTATTCTGTTTGTGAAGAATCTTGTATTGCTGCAGCCAGAGTATTCATTTTGAGAGAGAAACTCTTCTGGCCTCCTAAGTCCATCTCTCTGCTCCACTGAACTATCCAATTCTACAAAGCTGTATGACTCAAAACAGAACTCTCCTGTAGCAATCCATCAATCGATTCCTTTTTCATCTACAGAGTCTTTAAAAAAAAAGAGAGCTTATTCAAAATTCCCATGTTTCTGCCCAACTATAATTAAGTCGAAGGAACAGAGCATGTGATAAGCTGACTGAGGGAATGTTCCCCTCTCTCTTCTCTGTGACTCCCACACCAATTTTCACTGCTATTCTCAAAATCATATGACACAACAAAACATTTCCTAAAAGAAAGCAGCCTAAGGTCCACAAAGCCAAATACCACCTTTATCCTGGGTCAACCACAAAAGAAAGACTTGAGAAATTGCTAAGAGCTGACAATTACTTACTAAACCATCATGTAAGCGGTTTAAGGCCTGATATAATTATGCAGAGAAATTGTTGCTTATTTATCATCCTGTATCACAATGACTTATCTTTATGTGGCTCACTGTGAATTCCTTAAGGGTACCCAGCACCTAGCAAAAACTTGGGATATAAGCCCTCAAACATCTGTTGAATATATGATAAGCCTATGAGTTCACACAGTGAAAAAACTGCTTTTATCATAGTACCTGAGGAGCAGGAAGTACTAGTTTGCTTCTCTTTTTTGTAAATTCAGAAACACCACTAGTTTGAAGAATAGCTGATGGTAAATCAGACTCCTTTTTCCTTTTCAAATGCTGTTTGTCTTTTTTTCTATCTCTTCCTTCTTTTTCACTGTCATGAATTAAGGTAGAGATTTTTAAAAGTTACATACAGATAATGACATTAAAAGCCATATAAATACACATACACTTTGAACAAAATAATTCCATTTCTAAGAAAAATGCTAATAAACTGACAAAAACTATATACATTAATTTGTTCCTTACACCATTACCTACCCACTATATTCAATAGAAATGCAGACTTAGAATAGTAAAAGAATTATTAAGAAAATAGGATGTATTAAGTAATTTAAGTATTAAATATTAAAACTATATAAGTATAAAAACTATGACAATAAGCTAAATGTTGCATATAACATTAAAAGAAAAACAGAACTCTTCTATATCATATTCAAAAATATATGTACACATAAAAGAAAAATAATTATGTGAAGGGGATGAAATTGAAACAATGAATTTTTAAATTTCCCTGTAAAACTGTTATTCAACTGTTTATTATGATTTTTTAAATTCACTATATTTTTTAAAAGGATATTTAAGTCCTGATAAATTATACCAAAAAGTTGTCAGGAAGTTTAAAGCCAGGCTCAAGGCCATCTTTTAAAGCTCCATAAATGCCTCCTTCCCTTCTGTGCATCATCCTCTTCCCCATCTAGTCTATACCTTCCAAATGATTAGTGTTCATCTTCAATCTCTCTATTTGTAAAAGCTACTTAAAGCAAGGTCCTAATTTGAGAAATAAATAGAGTATATCCAAGAAAATCCTATTTCACAGTGGCTAATAACTGTTGTTTAATAACACTTCATGTCAATAGAAATGGAAAGTAAGAGAGTAAAAACTAAAAATCTTTGACAATCATAAAAGGTTCTCTCCACAGTATTCAGATTGTAGAATTAAAGAAACTCTAAAAATCTCTAGAAATAGGCAAAATCTTCTGCATCCTAAAACCACCATTTTATAAAAGTATATACTTATCCCTATTGAGTGAAAATTTTAGAATGTATTAGTAGTTTTCTTTTAATCTTCATTTTAAGAAAAATAAAATAAATTTTTCACTAGAAAAGACAAAAAGAATCAGACAAGAGTTTGACAGATTCCTTCAGGCTATTAGTAAAACAATCAATCTATTCACAAATGTACATAAATCTTAAGATTATACTCAGTGAGTAGACATTTCACTAACAGCCAAGTGCTGACATTTCAAGAGATATAAATAGTAATCTATGCTAAAAACAGGACAGCCCAAGTCATTGATTTTCTCAGAAAGGTGAACTCATTAATAAATAGAAGGATATGTAGGCCACTGTGTTCTAA